TATTCGCTTTGTCGATTATTTTCTCGAACGATTGACAGAACACATTATTGGATTTATAAACAATACAAAGTCCGATCTGTTTTTTGGACATACTTTTTACATTAATCGGTTCGCACGCGAGTGGATGATAGTTTTATTTTTTTTTGAAGTAGATTTTTAACTGTGAGTTTACGTGTTACAAATTACAACAACAACAATAGTAACAACAAATAAACAAAGGAATACTTTTTGACAAGTTGGAAGAAATACTTTGATCAAGATAAAATGGGAAATGCGGATAGTGTTCACGATGTGGAGATGAGTTCACTCTCAATGACATCTAACAACGATCATCGATCTCGAATCAGGGTGAAGAATAATTTTGCCTGATTGAGATATATTTATATTATAATGATTATTTGATATTTTACAAATACGATATCATACTTCTAGAGTTTTATATTTGATTAATTTATTTCAATTGATTATTTTAAACGGTTTGCCAATGAAAACGACGACAAGGTGTAGTCTGATTTATCGTAATTGTTTTTAACACTTTTCTTGTGAATTTTTTTCTTCTTTTTTATAATCGAATTTTAAGTTTATTGACAATTATTCAGTTACAATATTTATATGAAAATTTGTTATCGAGGGTAACCGATATTCGTTATTTTATTCTTTACGAATTATTGGTAAAGAAAAAAGAAAGAAATTCATTTTTGTTAAAATATTTGTCTATTTATCTATTTATTGATTGTCCTTCGGGGAAAAAATTGGGAACGGTAAAAAAAGAATTTGGCGAACGTTCAAAATATCTCTCGGATTTTTCGCTAATTTTTTTTTTTTTTTTTTTAAGATCTAAAATTAAAATTAGAAAAGGAAGAGATATCTTTGATATTTTTCTTCATTTTTTTGTTGGGTCTTGATATATCAAAAGATGCAAGTGTAAAATGAATTTTACGAGAAATTAATAGGTCAACAATTTGTTGAGAGCTTTCGTGTACGCCAATTCGGTGAAAGCGGTTTTATGAAAAACGGTAAAGTTTTAATATAACACGAAAGGCTTGGCGCATATGCGTACCTTCAAACACTCATAACTTCCACAATTGTTTCAATATTTATAGATTATAATTCTACAGCTGAAATGTATTAAGAAAGAACAAAGAAAATTATTTAGATGGAAAAAAACTGACAAATCAGAATATTTCTTTTCTAATTAAACGATACGATCGAATAATCGGTCAGATAAACGGATTTCAAATGTTTTTTTTTTCTTTCTTTCATTTAATTAACAAACACAAATATAATAATAAATATTCATTTATTATTATTATTGTGTCATTCGAAGATTGTTTTATTTAATATTTGTAGAAAATGGGAATTTATTTAAAAACTGGCCATTTAATCGATATAAATAAGTATACATAAATTGTCATTAGGTTTAATTCTATGGAGTATTATAAAGTTAAAAGCTTCCCACTTTTTTTGAATACCTTAATATGCATATGAGCCGTTTATTTGGAAAGTGGCGTAAGTCACTTTTTTTTTCTTTTTTTTTTTTTTATTGAAAATGAAAAGTTGTAATTAGTGTTGCCATTAACTCGGTTTTTTTGAAAAAGTGACTTATGCCACTTTCAAAATAAACGGCTCATATATAACGAGATATTGTTTTTAACCACTATGTGAAAAATGATAATTATTTCAATTACAATAATTAACAATTTAGAGAATTTTGTTATGTTCTTAATTCGAAATAAGATACTTAAATAATCTTTTCTTATTATTATTTATTCATTTATTATTGAATTGTCGATTAATATTTATTCTTTACAAATCGGTACGAACTTTTCGGGGACAATTGAATAAAAAAATAATTGAATAATTAATAATATAATAAGAAGATAATTCGTGTAGTATTCGGATTTTTGTTTTATTTTCATAAATTTTCCTTATATTCTAAGAATTAATATAAATTCTCTATCTACCTTTTTTCGTAATCAACGGTGCTTTAGTTGTTGCTTGAAATATTTGTCTTAGTTCTCGTGCACGTTTTGCTCTCGAAACTCACGAATCTTGGAATAGCTCGTAGACGGGACCAACGAACTCGAATCAACTCGAGTATACTTGGCTCGCAGTATTGCACCGTCAGAGAAATCACTGTAGTACTTTCATTTTAAGCCCTTACAACTGACGCTGCTAGAAAATATAAATTTTTCATTTGAAATTTAGCCCCCTTTTTGCAAGGATAATATTAGAATGAATATTTAACCCTTTTAGTGGTGATCTAAAATATCGTAACTAATAATATACAAATTTGACGTATTTGTTAAGTTTTCAGAAAAAAATGATAAAAACCAAAGTGAGAATGATATTGACAAAGTTAAAACAAAAAATAAATAATAAGGAATATATTTTCAATTTTAATTAATAAAGTAATATCAATTATATTGAAATATAATATTTGTTAAAAATTATATGTTTAACGTAAATATAAAACAGTATGAAAAAGAAGACAAATCAATTTCCTTTTTAGAACTAGTATTTGCACGTAAGAAAAATTATTGTTTGTAAATCATCTAGTACGAAGTATAGCAAACGTCAAAATGATGTGCTACAAAATAAATGATTGGTGTTGCTAGTATATGAACAAAAATTTTATTATTATTATAAATATTTATATTTAGTTATCTGACTATTGTAAAAAGGTTTAATATTTACTTATTATTATTAACACAAATAATTTATTAAATATTGTTGCTTATTAATGCATATGTTATTGCTAAAGCTCGAAAGCAATAAATGTGCAGATTAACTAACTAATCTGCAGATTAACTGATTTGCTCCGTTTACGTACGGAATCAAGAGTTTTCTGCATTTTATCTAGATAATGTGCACATTAACGGATTCCTTATCGTTGAAGTATCGTTAAAAAAGATGTTTCTACTGTAGAAATATCTTTGTATTAAACAACAATAAAACAATTCCTTGGTACTGGGTAGGGTTTCCTAAAATGTTACTGCAAATCTAAAAATATCACAAATAGGTGTGTTTATCGTTAAAATCAATTGTTATGTAATTCAAAGTGTCTAATAATTATATCATATGATTTACAAATTGATTTATTTAATTGTAATAATAATTTAAACAGTTTGATTCTTTTTATTATAGTTTCTTAAATTGAGATTGATCATTGATTCTATCAACTAATTTGTTGATTGTTTGATCGTATTAATTTGATTCTTTAGATATCGAAAAATAAATAAATAACATTATGTTAATTTAAGCATATACAGAAACGTTGCTGTTGTTCAAGCAAAGATCTTATTGTCACATTAACGAATACCTAGTAAATAATATACAAATTATCTAGATAATTTGAGAAATGAAAAAATTGTCGATACTTCAACAGATTATCCTAGTTAATCTACACATTACCTCGATAATCTGTAGAATAATAAAATTCTGCACTCTAGTGGTAACACATACATCGTGTAACCTTTTATTGCACAGATTACAAATTATGCATGACACATAAAGTGATTTTTGTTTTAACAGTTATTTACATTTATCGATTACGTTTTCAAGACGATGCTCAGTCTTTCCACCAATCAGTATAGAATATAATAGAAACTTAAATCCATAATCCATAAAAAGTATTTTTAATTATCTTGCAACGAATTGAATAAATTGAATTATTTATAACATTTTATAAATTTATTTTGAGATGGAGTTCTGTCGCGATGCAAATAATTAGATGTCATCGCATACGCGACTATATATCATCATTCGACACTAAAAGGGTTAAAAAAGTATACATTTTATTTTCTAAATGTTTTAATAGTTTAAACGATACAAATATGAATAATATTAAATAAAATTATTATTTGTTTGATTTTAGAACTTATTCATATTAAATATTGCATTTTAAATTAACCTTTTTCCAAGTAAATAGAATATATTTTAAATGATTGTAGAATTCTTTTTTAAATATTTTAATAGTTTAAACACACACACACACACGATATATATATGAATAATTAACTAAAATTATTATTTGTTTAATTTTAGAACTGAGAAAATATATAAATATTGTACTGTAAATGTATCCTTTTGCAAGTTCAAAAAATGAATAATAAATTATTGTAGATTTCTATTTTAAATATTTTAATAGTTTAAACGATATATATGAATAATTGACAATAATTATTATTTGTTTAATTTTAGAACTGAGAAAATATATAAATATTGTACTGTAAATGTATCCTTTTGCAAGTTCAAAAAATGAATAATAAATTATTGTAGATTTCTATTTTAAATATTTTAATAGTTTAAACGATATATATGAATAATTGACAATAATTATTATTTGTTTAATTTTAGAACTGAGAAAATATAAATATTGCACTTTAAATGTATCCTTTTGCAAGTTGAAAAAATGAATAATAAATTATTGTAGACTATTTTTTAAATATTTGATTAGTTTAAACGATATATATATATGAATAATTAACTAAAATTATCATTTGCTTAATTTTAGAACTTATTCTTATTAAGTGTTGCATTTTAAATTAACCTTTTTACAAATAAATAGAATAAATATCAAATGATTGTAGATTTCTATTTTAAATATTTGATTAGTTTAAACGATATATATGAATAATTAACTAAAATTATCATTTGCTTAATTTTAGAACTCAGAAAATATAAATATTGCACTTTAAATGTATCCTTTTGCAAGTTGAAAAAATGAATAATAAATTATTGTAGAATTCTTATTAAATATTTAATTAGTATAAACAATATATATATATATGAATAATTAATTAATATTATTATTTGCTTAATTTTAGAACTCAGAAAATATAAATATATTGTACTTTATAGATTTATCCTTTAGACTTGCAAAGTTTTCTTTAGAAATATTTCAAATGATAATAATTTTAAAAATATTTTAAACACACTATATATATATATATATATATACGAATAATTAACTAAACAAAATAATTATTTGTTTACAGAGGACGCCCATGCGCCCGATGATAGCAGAATACGACCCAAAGAAGCACGGTGTGAAAACAGAACTGTCAGACATGGTTCTCGTCAAGTAAGTTTCCAAGTTGGTTTATGAAATCGAACAAGTGGTTCGGTGATAATCGAGAGAGTTCGATTACGTTATCCGCTACCACGACCGATCATCGCCATTGCTTTATTGCCAAATCCAATTGCTCCGCGCTCGAGCGAACGTGAGTGACACCCCGAGGATCATATATTGTGCATTGCATCTCGTTATATATGTGTATTCTCTCACTCTCTTTGTGTACCCTTTTTCTTATTTTAATTCTATACCTCCTTCTTATCATTGCATACCGCCTGATCGCTGATATTTCAATAAGTTTGTTTTTTTTGTTTTTTTTTTTGTAGCCGGAACGCAAGTAACGCTTCTTGATTTCACGAATCCGCGTTAATTTCAATATTATCTTAAAAATAATTTTTTCTTTTTTCTTCCCCCCCCCTCCCCTTCAATTCGTAAATCAATTTATTATTTTCTTGTTCTGCTTTTACATCTCGAATGATTATATTAATAATATAATAATAAAACAAAAAACAAAAGAATAAATTTATCGGATGAAATTTCTTGTTTACCCCAGCCCCCTTCACCGGCCACCAAATTCGATGACCTTGAAGCGTTGCACCTTTCGAATTATTTAATGCGAATCAGACGGAGGCATTGCGTTCTTGCTGCACCCTCAGCGCGTTATTTTCGCTATTTTAAACTCGTGCTTAATCGTGCTCGCTCACTCCTTTGATTAGTATAATCATCATCATCATCATTATTATTATTATTAGTATTATTATTATAAATTCGAGATCGTATTAAACATCGACAAGTATATTGCATTAGAGAATGAACTCGTATTATCGGTTAACACGCGTCATGAACTTGATCTTTGACATTAAATCGAATATTAGATCATTTCCTATTGGTTTTCATTTAATTTCATCATTGTAAAAAACAAAAAGAAAACAAAACAAAAATCATGATGCGATTTATACGTTACGTAAGTTTATTATCAAGACGTTCCCGTCTTTACGATAGTTCTAGAATTTTCTTTGATTTTTAATATTCTATCGTTATTTATTTTCTGTCACGCGTTTCTATGATTCCAATTTTTGCAACGAATTATGATTATTTCTTAATTTATAACGGTCACTTACAGGTATGTTTTATAATACAAGGTCGTTTTGAAAAAGGTTGGATACTTTTTTTAAAATTAATCATTTATAAACTATAACTATAGTAAAATAATAATCAATTACCAGCGGAACGTGTTTGGAAACTCTAATAGTTGTATTTTTTTGTTGACAAATCCAGTGAGGTTAAAACATTGGAATGGATTTATTAATTCATCAGTTTCGAAATTTGTTATTAAATGAGGTGATATTTATTGTAATGAAGTTACAATGTGGTCACATAATGGTTCCAAATTTTCAATACGTGACCAAAATATGAATATTTAGTTTAATGTTTTAGAAAATTAATATCTGAGGAATTTTGTGGTCACTGATTACGAATATGATATTATTTTTATAAAAAAGAAAAAAACGAACTGGTAGAAACAAAATCAAGGATTATTTGGATATCATTATAATTGGAGATAATATTACATATTTATTAATAAGTATTATGAGAAGTAAAGTAACAATATAAGATATGATTTTTTAAATTGTTTTAATCGTCATTAAGGAAATCATTACAATCATTATTTTCGTTTTCCGGTGAAGAATCAGTGTCATTATTATGCATTACTTTACTATTTACATTTGACAGATTTAACAATATAATCGCTTACGATGATAATGATCGCAATTTTTTGATATTAACGGATCGGACAGAATTTTGTCGAAGGAGAATAAACTATAAAGTAATTTTTTAATAAACTTGTTGTAGGAATTTTGTGTTTTTCTTTTCTATCAATTGATCAATCGGAAATAAAACCGAAGGCAACAGTTTACGGTGAATTAAAATTTGATGCATAGTTATTCGATATATTTACGTTCGATTTCTAAATGAACAATCATAAAATTTATTTATTAAAGTAATGGACAAAGTGTAACGTCTTTACAATTACATTTAAATACGAGCTAAAATAGCAGCTAGTTGTAGCTAATTTTTTAGGTTATGTTTCGATAAATAATTTGAAAGCTTATTAAAGCGCAGGATTTGTTGAGAAAATTTACTTAGAGTTACATTTGTTATTTATGCGAGTATTCGAAAACATAATTCAATTGTATTTACTGTCAGTCGAATATTATATATTTATGTGTTTTGAAATCGGTTAAATAATATGCGCGTTTAACAAGACCATAATTTTCTGTGAACCAGCTAGTCAGCCACAAATACGATCACGTTTAAACTGAAAATTTACAGGTGTGCATAAGCACTTGTTTATTGTGGTAAAAAGGTATTACGGAGTCCATTAAAAATATTTCAAGAGTGAAAAAGAAAAATATTTTTTATTCGACATTCGGTCACGTTTTGAAGATCTGGGACCACCGTGCGTCCTGTTATTGGAAAATTAAACATATGCTATTTTCATGTTGTCAATTTACTTGACTTTAGGAAAAACGTATTGTTCCAATATGTCTAAATAAAGATTTCCTGTAATTGTACCTGTAAGACAACACATTTACTTTCAGAAAATCTCAGATATTATACTTCACGATAACATTTGATTGTTAAGAACTCCCTCAGATCCTACAAATGTGCTGATTTACATAGCTATTAAAGTTAAATGTTGCTTCGTCAGTGACAAATACTCTTTTTGTCATCTTAAAAAACAATAACTATGTACAGTCACGTCTAAAAACAAATTTGTAAAGCTATGAAAGTATTTGCTGAAAGAAATATTTCTTCATTCGGCTAATTACTTTGCAGGAATGATGATTTAATTGAAACCATTCAACCTTTTTCAATGATCAATGATAAAACGGGCGAAACCTTGACGAAATAAAAAATCTTGACGAATTCAAAGATGGCGTACTATATGATGGAACAAAAATAGTATAGTAATGGTGCTAAATCATGAAACGATTTTGTTCTCGCGTAAAAGAACAAGGAGAAGGAGGGGGAGAATGAGGAGGGTGCAGCAGAAAAAATAATTCGAATGATTGGTTTCCTCGTGAAAATCAGCAGGAATAAAATGTTTCGTGGTCGAGGCGTCATGCGGTATGCAAAAATAATAAAAAAAAAATTAAAATAAAATAAAATAAAAGCGAAAAACGAAAAAGTAGTAGTTTAATATTTAAAGGATAAACGATCTGTCTTTACTGTATAATATGTGCATTTATATGATTCCAGACTCGTGTATAAACAAACTCCGGGCATATATATCGGGCTTGAACAAAGTGCTCTGCGAGTAACAATTGAGAGAAAGATAGATATGACGATATATGTATATCGTTGAACTGCGTTGCAGTTATTAAGAATGAATAAAAAAAATATATATGCAAAAAATATAAATCTGTTCGTCCGGATGAGCTGACGATGAAAATAATGAAAACACCAACCGATTATTGGTTGTGCAGAAAGCCGCGAAACGCGACCGCGACGCGAAACGACATGACGAACGGACGAACGTAAATGACAATACTGTACACACCTAATTTAAAAATGGACGATCTTTTATAACCTCTTAACTGTGAATGACGAGCATACTCTTCGTACGAGAATATTTATATATTTTTAATATTTATTCATTTGTCATCAAATTTTTTACTTCAACATTGAACACGATGTTTTTAAACATTTTTTAAACCATTTGTATATTTACACATTCGTAAATTATTTATTTATATTATATATTCGATATATTGTTTTTTTTTTAAATAATGGTTTTTATTTTTGACAGAAAACGAATATAATTGCTTTTCAATGAAATAGAAAGATAAAAAAAATATTGCTGCTTATTATTATTATTAAAAGCAGTCATTTGAATTTTTCTTCTTTACGAGCCTTTAAAGATCAATTGTTTTCCTTCTAATATGCTTTTTAAGTTAATTAATTTTGAAAAAAAAAAAAAAAAAGAAAAAATTTTAGTGGTTATTTCGTTATAATTCGATTAAATGTTACAACACAGCAATTGCAAATACTCGACGTTTGACGAGTATACTCGTCATCTAGGGCAGTCATACCAAACTTTGCGGTCACGGGCCGCGTGCGGCCCGGCACACCTAGACATGATTTTTTTTTCCCTTTTTTTTTTTTTTTTTCCTTTCTTTTAGTCATCGATTTTCAATCGGCGCCAATGTGCGGCCTGCTTGATATAGGAAATGAACATTATGCGGCACCCGAAGGAAAAAGGTTGAGTACCCCTGTTCTAGGGGCACAGTTAAGAGGTTAGTTTTGAATTGTCGAGTATGTAAAATCAAAAAACAAAAAAAATAGGGCGAGAGGGAGAGAGAGAGAGAGAGAGGGAGTGAGAGGGAGAGAGAGAGAGAGAGAGAGAGTGGGAGAGAATGAGAAATATAAAGAGAGAGAGAGAGAGAGAAAGAGAGCTAAAAGAAAAAAACAAAAATGTCAAACAAACTGATTGTTAATAAAATAACGGAATTGGCACGAATTATGCAAATAAGAGAGAAAAAGAGAAAGAAAAAGAAAGAAAGAGAAAAAAAAAAGAAAAAGAAAAGAAAAAATGTCTTCGTCGTCGTCATTGTCGTCGTCGTGGATAGATGGCGTTGTTTTGAATACAAAATGAAAAATAGAAAGGCGCGTTATTTGAAATGAAATTGTTCCTCGGCAAAAATGTGCAAATGTATAAATAGAAAGAGAGAAAGAGAGATAGAGAGACAGAGAGATATATATGTAGAGAGAGAGAGAGAGATAGAGATAGAGCACATGAGCAAAATATTGTCAGAAAGCAAAGAAGGCCTGTTTGTCGTCGTACTGTGTCTTGGCGCTGGGTAATTATGCGTCTATTGGGATGCAGTGCGGTGGTGGCAGCTTCCTCTGAGCCTGACCTGACACGCATTGCGTACGACAAGCTACGCAAAAGCTCCATTCGGAGCTTTCTCAGACACAGAAAGCTTCGGACGACTACGGAGAGAGAGAAAACTACTGCAAGCACCTTAAATGGGTACCTATATACCTATACACAACTCTATCTATTTAAACACGACCTTATTTCAACATGATTTTTACAACACTTTTTATTATTTATATACAGAAATACATACATACACACATACATAAGTACAGTGATTCATTTAAATATTTGGACACTATAGTAAGACCAGCTTTGTGACTTCATATTTCGGTTCTTTGTAAAACAATCATCACATTGATTATTGTTCTTAGCTATTAGGTCATTTATTATCCTCTTGAGATACTTATAATTATATAATTACGCGAATTAAGGATGCAACTGCATCTCACTTTTTGTTTTAGTATCTCTCAGAAATAAAAATCTATTGAGGTTAGGTTAAGTGATCTAGGTGACCAAACTATTGTTTAGAGAAGAATACCTTGAATCACTCAAAGATATTAAACAACGTACGCAAAACCGCTGCATATTATTTTTAAGCAAGACATTTAAACTGTTTTACAATTTGTTTTATAACATTTTAATAAAGCTTCAAATGATATATGTTTATAAAACCTTTTTTTATTTTATTTTTGTGAGTAAAATATGTTCGTGACGTTTGTACGGAAAAACATTTGATACCCAGTATACTGTGTTGTATGAGGAATCGCGTTATATTAAAACAATAGCTGTAATATATTTGACACGTTATAGGAATTCGCAATAATGAAACTCATTTTATACGAGAATCTAATTAATACGTTGAATAACACGGGATTAATCAGTGATCATTACTAATTGTAAGTTTTAGGATTAATAGAAATACATTAATTATGATTACTAGAAACATATAATTCGAAGAAATTTCAATTTTTTGTAATTTGATGATAATAATTAAGTTAATAGATTAAATATTATACAAGCAAATTGCGACTTGTTGTATTTATACATTTTGAACAAAGTAAATGTGAATTGGTATAGTTTTCATAATATGTCACAACATTTTTGAAAGAATATTTTGCCTTTTGCAATTTTTTCTCTAACATATTTTACATAATCATTGTCTGTTTTTGGCTTCTCATGACATTTTTTTGTATTTCATAGCGTGGTTTTTTTCGCAAAATTTTTTTAATCAAGCCAAAACAATGAAATTCATTTAAACGTTACGGGAGCCACCGGTGACCCCCATTAGGATTAATACATTGTACATAATTACATACTTTAAACTTATTTGTTCTAATCAATAATAATTCAACGTAATATTTAACGCATAATAACATATTCGTATTGACAAATTAGCGTGGCACATTCAGCGTATGAAAATAAAATTGTAATACTTTACAATGTAATCATTTTGTTTTAGAACATTTTTTATTGTTAATCTGTTTGAAAAAATTATTTTTTAATTTGTACAAAACATTCTGATATTTATCCAATCATTTTCGAATCTATGTTTCAAAATTTGGTTATTGAATAAATTGAAATTTTTCGAATTTTCCTATCAAAAATGAATCCCCATTAATATTCAATAAGATTAACATAAGATCCGATAGCTTTGATTTGAGTAGAAAAATTAACGGACATTTATTTAATAAGTACTTTTGCAAAATTCGCGTTTTATGTATTAATTATTGTTTTAATAAAACAATAACCCAACTTTATCGGTACTTCGAAATAAATTCGAAACGAATGAACACAAAGTTTTCAATTTCGTATAACGAAATGCAATTCCAGTATATTATATTTACTGTTACTTATTTCTTCGAATAATTTTCATTATTTAACGTATAGATTATAAATGTTAATCAATGTTAACAAATAACCGATTGCTAAAAACAATAATCATGTCGATTTTCTATGAAACCGCAATACGAAGTGGTAAAAGTAATTGTCGTATAATTGACTAGTTAGCGTCGAAATATTTTTGTTCGAATCAACTCTACGATACACACGTACAAAATTTTTGTATAAACACACAAATATATAATGTCTCTCTTTATCATAAGCTCCGCCAAAATAAACGGATTTTCAAAGCCGTTATTACATGCGCGAGTAAGATTTCTTTCTACAGGATAAAAAAGAAGATTCGAAAGAATGGGAGAAATGGAAAGGGAAAGAGAGAGAGAGAGAGAGAGAGAGAGGGAGAGAAAGAGAGAAAGAAAGCGCGAGAGAGAGAGAGAGAGAGAGGGGGAAAGAAAAAAGGAGAAAAATAATGCGTGGGAACGCGCCGAAATCGAATCTGCGATAAATTCGCAGCATACATCAGAATTTCGTTAAAGAAACGTTCGTAGCTCGCTCTCGTCCGTCCGAAAAATTAATTTCGAAATAATAATAAATAAATAAATAAATCAATCAATCAATAAAAAGAGATCAAGTTATGTCAGTTTAATAATCGCGATATACCAGAATTTTGTTCGCTTTTGACTTGAATTTAGTTGTTGTTCTTCTTTGTATTTATCCATCGACTTACCGTTTACTGTTCGTTTCGTATGTTATCTCTACATTGTGATTTTTCTATAACGCGAATCTTCGGTATTCATCTTCGAGCATAATTACGTTTCTCAAGGCTTCCGCTCTATCGATGAATCCTTTTCATAATCCTTCGCTATCCATTTTGAATAATTTTCGTTCCTATTTCATTAGATTGTATATATTTATCCAATTGGCTGTAGACGACGAGTATACTCGTCATAGATTAATTGCCATATTATTTTATTATGACGAGTATACTTTTCATAAATAAATTGCAATAATTTGTTTTATAACGAGTATACTTTTCATGTATAAATTGAGATAATTTATTTATTTTATAACGAGTACACTCGTCATAGATTAATTGCAATATTATTTTATTATGACGCGTATATTCGTCATGGAGAAATTGCAATATTATTTTATTGTGACGAGTATACTCGTTATGGACAAATTGCAATATTATTTTATTATGATGAGTATATTATTTATGCATAAATTGAGATATTTTGTGTTACAACGTTATGGATTAATTGCAATATTATTTTATTATGACGACTATACTTTTCATGAAAAAGAATTAGTAATATTTTGTGCTATGATGCGTATATTCGTTATGGAGAAATTGCAATATTATTTTATTATGATGAGTATATTATTTATGCATAAATTGCAATATTTTGTGTTACAACGTTATGGATTAATTGCAATATTATTTTCTTATGACGAGTATACACGTCATGGAAAAATTGCAATATTATTTTGTTATGACGATTATACTTTTCATGCGAAAAAAATTGTAATATTTTGTGCTATGACGCGTATACTTTTCATAGAAAGATAAAAAAAAAAGAGTAAAACAATTATTTGATTAAAAACTTAATTCAATATTATAACAGCTACATATATATATATATACTCCCTTGTTTGCCGAGTATACTCGTCACCGTTTGATTTCTACGACATAATTTAATTACACTTAATACACTTTTTGACGAGGTTACCACAACTAATCGATTAAATAACAAATGGTAATTACTTTATTCCGCATGACGAGTAAACTCGTCGTAAAATATATAATTACGATTGACAAGTATTCTCGTTAATCGCAGCTAATTGGTTATGTATACGCATTATACAAACGTACGAGCATGTTTCCGTTTGTTTGTATTCTTTGTTACTTCCTTTGCTTTTATCTTTCCTTTATTCTCATCTTTATCTTCTTCTTTATCCTCTTCCTTTTCCTTCTTCCCACCTTTTATCAAAATTTATTTTTATTTTTACAACCAAAGAGAAACAAGAGTCAAATATACGCGTACGCTTATCGGAAATCTATTTCTATGAAAGAACGAGTAGAAAGATTTTAGAAAATAAAAAATAAAAGAAAAATAAAAGAAAAGAACTGCAACGTTCCTAAATCCTTTTGTACAAATATTTTCCGTTTGTCGTGTTTTCGCGGCTAGAAAGGAAAACTTTCCCTTTTTCCATAAGCATAAAATATAATACTTAATTACGTATATACTTTTTACATATAAATCGTTAGATATATATATAATTATAATATCATTATGTATGTATATGTATGTGTATTCATATCTATTACAAATATATACATGTATAATAGATCTAGAGATTTGATATATATACTATAATATATATATGACAGATCGTACAACCTTTTTACTTTTTATTTCATTTATAACCCAAACTAACGTTCACGGTTTTACAGATACAAGTGCGAGAAAAATGATGTACCAATCACCGTTACGAATGGGTCTACTTTACCTCTCGTGGAACGACCCAATGACGAAGAGGCAGCCCTTTATGATCCATTCGAACATCGAAAATTGGCCCATCCAACTTCGGATCTTGATACTCTGATACATCTGCTCAAAGGAAGTCTTGGTACTGGTATACTGGCTATGCCATTGGCCTTTAGAAATGCTGGACTCATTTTTGGCCTATTCGCGACTTTTTTCATCGGTGCCGTTTGCACTTATTGTGTACATATACTGGTCAAATGTGCACACGCTCTTTGTAGAAGGACACAAACTCCAAGTTTGGGATTTGCTGATGTTGCTGAAGCAGCTTTTCTCGTTGGTCCCGAAGGCGTACAAAAGTATGCTCGTCTTGCCAAGTGAGTTTAATATCTTTCTTTGTTTTTTTCATACTTATTTTACTTGTTTTCGATTTGTTTTTTCCTAAGCAATAAAACGTATTGACCGTTTATTTTGAAAGTGGTGTAAGTCAATTTGAAAATAAAACAAAATTCATATATCACGTAATTTTTATGATTCATTTAGTGTCAACTTTAGATTTATAATTTGTTAATATTTAATTTCTGTAAAAGTGTCACTGCTTGGTGGATTATCTAATTTAAAATTGGCCAATAAAAGAAATTACGTAACCATTGATTATGAAAATGGTTTAATCTAATTTCTATAGAAAAACAAGAGAAAAGAATTTCCTGTATACACCACAGGATTATTACGATATTATAAAACAATATAGACAACATGATAAATTCATTTCACATGAAATGAAACGAGAAAATTTCGTTTCAACAAAAAACCTATCTACCTAATTAAACGATTTAAACAATTAACTAATTTTGAAAGTGGTGTAAAGTTCATTTGCAGCCCGTAAATATACATTATTTTAGTTAAATTAGCCTAAAAGAAATTTATATAATCAAATTACATATATTGACAAATTAATAGAAACATTGTCAGATTTGACATAATTAATTTTAATGTTCTCGAAACAACAAAAAATGGACTTGCACCATTTTCAAAATAAACGATTTACATTTTGTAAATGAAACTTTCAATAATTTTGTGTTTTAAGCCCTATGAGTCGTATTTGTCTGGTAAATGACGAATATTTTTTGTATAGAAGTTTTACGAGACGCATGTGAATTATATTTGGAATTTATATTCGAAATTTATAAATTCGTCACAAAAATAATGAATAACTATGCTAAACTAAATATAACCGCGCGTAGAGTTATATAATTCAATGGATGTTGAACATTGCCGATTATCGATTTATTAAATTCGAATAAACGTTTTTAAAGAATAGTATTAATTTTCAATATAAAATAAAATAAAATACACATATTGAATATAAAATATGAATAAAAATTTCGTGTCCGATTCTCGTACCAAGGTTATACCAAAAGTCACTTTATCTCTAATAGAATAGAATAGAATAGAAAAAAAAGAAATAAAACAACAAATTGATATATTACAAAATTATATTTTTCATTCGAAAATATAAATCTTTGGTTACATGCAGTGTTATTTTAAAATGACATTTTAATACGAATATAAATTTCTTTGTTAGTTCGGATAAAGTGATTTTTAGAACACCATATATATGATACCCTGAATTTGATTTACCATTCACACAGGGTCACCGTCAATTATTATGTTTTTTTTTCTCGTGATAGATATGACCGTGAATTGTTTTGTCATTTTTAAATTTTTTTTTATCTTTCAGGGCCACCATCAATCTCTTTCTCGTAATTGATCTGATCGGATGCTGTTGCGTATATATCGTATTTATTGCGACGAATCTCGAAGAGGTTGTAACGTATTACACGCAAATGGGCCAAGATTGGGAATCAGTTAATCGATTAAGATTATACATGGCCGCACTTTTACCTTTCCTCATAATATTTTCTCTCGTGAGAAATCTTAAGTACCTGGCACCATTTTCTATGCTTGCCAATATATTGATCGCTACAGGAATGGGAATAACTTTCTATTATATATTTACTGATTTACCAACGATCAGCGATGTACCTAACTTTTCTACATGGGCACAACTTCCACTCTTTTTCGGTACAGCAATCTTTGCTCTTGAAGGCATTGGTGTCGTAAGTATTATCATTCTGATCTATTTTATCATATTAAAATTGCCAACGTTGTTCTTTAACTCTAAACTTTCCATTTCTTACAAGGAGACCTTACGGTTATGCCCTCACTGACTTTAACTAGCTTTGGTATATTAGTAGTATACCTTTAGGGTGTTAACGTGGTAAAGTATTTTATCAAAATGCGAAGCTAATTTTGATAAAAATGCTTTTAAAGTTTTGAATTTTTTGTATACATATTTATATTATCTTAAATGTGATTGTCTATCAAGTGGCGCGCTAGCGTAAGTAGTAGCGTACTCGCTTCTCGTGCTGCTAGTTAGTGTTCGATCCTTCATGGGGGAAATTTTTTTAATCATTTTTTTCTATCTGTTTTCAAATTGCTTTTTCATATTTTTAAATTTTTAAATGTATACAGGAAAGAGAAAATTATTTATTACAAAAAAATTAGAACTAATAAATTTTTTAACATCTTGCGCAAATAATAAAGGAAAATCGATTACTTGAATTACAGTTAACATTTAATTTTTTAACAGGTATATGGAGATAGATAAATCTTCAATATACTAACAAATACTAATCAATGTTCCTTTATTATTTGCGCAAGATGTTAAAAAATTATTTATTCCTAATTTTTTTGTAATAAATAATTTTCTCTTTCCTGTATATATTTAAAAATTAAGAATTATGAAAAAACAATTTAAAAACAAATAGAAAAAAATTATTAAAAAAAAGTTTCCCGATGAAGGATTGAACTACTAACTATCAGCACGAGAAGTGAGCACGCTATTACTTACGCTAGCGCGCCACTTGATAAGCGGTCGCATTTAAGATAATGTAAATATGTATACAAAAAATTCACAACTTTAAAAGCATTTTTCGCAAAATCGGCTTCGCATTTTGATAAAATACTTTACCACGTTAACACCCTAAGGGTATACTACTATTATATCAAAGTTCGTTAAAATCAGTGAGGGCACAACCGTAAGGTCTCCTTGTTAGACCAAATCTATTCTATTGGATTTATAAACTCGTTCCTATTCAAACTTATTCCTATTCAAACCTATTTTTCTTTCGTGGGCTTCATACACGTCCTTTTCTTATAACAAATGGGCCGTACATTGGTGGCATTGGTTGAAATATTAAGGTGAACCAAAAGTTCGTGAGTTTATTGTGTTATAAACTCCATAAGAAATTGTTTTTGTAAAATTTACTTTGGAAATAATAATTAAACAAAATTACGAACTTTTGGTTCACCCTAATAGATATTTTTAAAACTAATAGTTAAAAAACAAACGTCATAGGGATGGCAAAATAATATAAATCTATTTAGTATTTAAATATTAATACTATGATATTGTTTATATGAGTGATTAGTCAGGAAAGGTGGGAAGTTGGTAGGGTAGGGGTCAATTTGCTGTCATTCAATTTTTATTGCTACAAACAAAAAAAAAAGAAAAATTTATGATTGACCATTTCGGACTGCCGGGTTGCATGTGTTCAGTATTGTTGGTTTAGATCATATTAAATTTGTGCTATTCATTTGTGGATTGTTTATAACTCATTCAGCTTAATCCTTTGAGGAAAACAATTTTAGAAAATTAAAAAAAGACTTGAGGACTGCAAAGAAATTTTATTTCTTTTTAAATTACACAAAGTTTATTTATTTTTATTAACGAAGGAATAACATAATATAAAAAACATGAGAAAGAATAATAATAATTGCATTTTCATATTGCTATATGTATACATTTACGCATGAAAACAATGGAACATGGAACATGGCACAAAACTGTGGAATATTATTTACTTTCGTTTCTCAATGCCAACTTTTGGTGATTTATTTTGTCGTTCAGAATATATTTACGTTCAAAATATATTTTTAGTAAGATTAATTCAATACGGGTCAATAAAATCAAAAGATTATAGAAAAAATCGAATTTTCTTGACGATTATAGTCGGCACTCGTATACACAGGTTATTGCATGGATGCCGGCTATAGTCGGCGCTAGTAACGAAAAGTTTAAAATCAAAAATTCTTTATTTTTCACAAATTATTCTTGATAATAGTGTTGAAAAATAAAAATTTAAAAAAAAGGAAACAAATTATACACGAAAAACAACAAAATCGCTAGCTACGAAAACAAGAATGTAAATTTAAATCGAAACAAATTTAATTTGTAAATTCTCACATTTTATTATATTATATACCTCGTTGCGTACGAGGAATTCGCGTTAGAGAAAAAGAAATTACGTTATAGAATAAATATATTTTAAAAAGGAACAAAAATTCATGAATAAATAATATAACGTTGTTAAACCTATCAAATATAATATACATAAAATAAGATAAGATAAGATAAGTAAGATTTAATGCTATAGTACTCATCAGTCTGTAACAAATAACACTGATCATATCAATTAATATTGTTGACGTTATTGAATAATTAATGGCCATTATAGGAGAATAATGTTCATACGATATTCAATTCACAGATTCAAATGTATGATTTAAGCAAACTTACCCCTATATGTCCTTAAATAAAAAAAAGAAAAAAAAAATCAAATGATGTATCGAGTTTAAATAGACTCGCGTCGTCTTTAAAGTATTATGACGAGTTAACTCATCATCCCCAGTTAAAAGGTTAAGAACTGTTATTAAACTTTCCAATTATGTCGCCCGGTTTCTGCGATCCTAACGCAGTTCCTGCGTGTCGAGTTAATACATTTCGTTTAATTCTTTGTGATACGACGGTATTAAAAGTGTCCCATCTTTTTTTTTGGATGCGTAAATGTACACGTTGGGAAACTATTTGAGTTTCAGCTTATAACAAAAAACTTAATTCAATTATTACTATGATTATTATTATTATTTTGGTATGTATGTATTTATATTACGTTATTCATTTGTTAATAATAATCAATTTCTATTTAATTTAAAAAGAAATAAAATTTCGGTGCAATATGGGTCATTTTTTTTTTGTAAACTAAAAGGATTAATTCACAGATAAAAATGATAAGGAAAGAAAAAACTCTAAATATTACATATAGTTTAAAATTGATTCCAGCAAAATTAGCGATACGGTCAACAACAAAATCGGATTACGTTTATCTTTTATAGAGTATATAGAATAATTGAATAGTCAAATAAAATAGGTTTCGGTGTTGAATCTTTCATAAAAAAGTAATTGTAATTATTGTTTACAGGTAATGCCTTTGGAAAACAACATGAAAACCCCAACCCATTTCATTGGTTGTCCAGGAGTCTTAAATACCGGAATGTTTTTCGTCGTATTGTTGTACAGTACCGTAGGTTTCTTCGGATATTGGAAATACGGTGAAAAAACAGCAGCATCGATCACGTTAAATCCACCCCAAGACGAAATACTTGCCCAATCAGCTAAAATAATGATTGCCATTGCGATATTCTTTACTTATGGATTACAATTCTACGTACCGATGGAAATCATATGGAAAAACATTCGACATTATTTTGGTTCTAGAAAAGTATTTGCCGAATATTCGCTTAGAATATTTTTGGTAATTTTCACGGTATCCGTGGCAATTGCTATGCCATCACTAGGCCCGTTCATTTCATTAGTCGGAGCTGTTTGTTTGTCAACACTTGGCATGATGTTTCCATCGGTTATCGAATTGGTCACAGTTTGGGAACAAGAAAATGGCCTTGGAAGGTACAAATGGAGATTATGGAAAAATCTTGCTATCATCTGTTTCGGCGTGCTCGGCTTTTTAACTGGCTCTTATGTCAGCATCAAAGAAATCATTGAGCAAAAGTGAACAGATTAATTGGGCAAGATGAGGAGCGGCGCGAACGAATAACAATCATTTTTACTTGCGTATTAGAAACGCCCAGTTCTGTTTAAGTTCGTGCCCTCGCTCGCATTCCTATTTTCCGGAAGGATAATTGCCTAGAAGAAGCAAACTGATGAAGATGAAGATAAAGGTGAAGATGAAGATGAAGATGAAGATGAAGATGAAGATGAGAAGATGAAAAGATGGCTGCGGCCTAGTATGACGTTCAAATAAACATACCATCATGAACGAATAATGAAAAAACGATTAACCCGACAAGTAATCGCGAAAAATATGAGTACGAGCTGCTTAGATTATTTTATTAAACTAATCGCGATCGCGATGATATCGATGATCGTATTGACGATGATGATGACACCGCAATTTAAATTTTCCTTTCGCTTTCAATTATCTCGTTTGTTTTTTTTTTTTTTTAGTTCTATTAGATATCTCTATTTGATATAATATTATACCACATAGTAAAATTAATACACATGTCGTACATTATTCATTATTTCTTTATATGTTTAGTAGATTTTTCGGTGAAACGAGATATATATTTATCCAACGTTGTGATCATCGATTGTAACGAAAAATTAACGAAAAAAAAAAAAAAAAAAATATTTTAATCTTTTAATTTCATTCTTTTTCGACTATAATAATTTTATATTATAACAATTTTCGACAAATTTTTCTTTTCCTTTCGATTCTTTGTACACCGTTATTTTGTACGTTTTCTTGTTTTTTTTTTTTTTTTCTTTTTTATCATTACGCCAAATTTTGACGAAACATCGACAAATTTTGTTATTATTCGACTAAAAAAAAGGGTCGTTCTCATATCTTTTGACGCAAAAAAAATTCAGAATTGTTTTAAAAGTAAATACCAATATTTTGTTTTGTTCAACGTTTTATGTTAATTTGTTTGATCTCTTTCGTTTTTTTCTTGTATATTTGAAAATAGAAAAAAAAAAAAAAGAAAAAATAATACAAAGAAAGAAAGAAAGAGACGTTGGAAAAAAGAACGAATATAATTTATCGTCGCATCGTCATAGACGGAAGCCACTGATCTGTTCCTAGTGCATGATGCACGAAATCGTACAAAAGATTATCGATTTTAATTGTAAGATGCTAAGCCGTTTACGCGCGTTTGCTAGTCTGTAAAACTGGAAGTAACGATTTAACGAGTTTAAGACAAGTGATAAAATAAAATAAAATAAAATAAAATAAAATAAAATAAAATATAAAATAAAAAAAAAAGATTAAAAAGAAGAGATAAATAAAAAAAAAAAGAAATAAAAAATTAAAACGTGCGTACTTCTGATTTTCGAGATGCAGTATTAATTAATTAATTAATTAAAAAGAAAACAAAGAAAAAGTGTTCCCGTAGATTTTTCGAGCTTCGAACCGAAATAGTATTTCATTCGAATTTTCATAATAAAATTTTGATATAAACAGAAAATTGAAGGAATAATATTTGAAAATTGAGAGATTAGTTTTTCGATTAAACTAAAAATTACGAACTATTGTCTGTAATTTTTGTTTCTAAAAGAAAAAAAAAGAAAAATAACAACAACAATAACAACAACACAACAACAACAAATAAAGAGAATATAAAGAGATAGAAGGTGGAAAAATAATAATTATAATAATGATAATAATAATCGTAGATGTTCCTTCGTTTTTTATTTTTTTTTTTTTGTAAATGATTATTAATAACTGTCTGTAATTTTGCAAGAACGGTGCCATTATACAGTCGGTCGTTCGATGAGTCCTACGTATGTATACCTGTATGTGTATTTTATATACATATACTTATTTGTTTATATATATATGTATATGTGTATATCCGACGAACAAAAAAAAAAGTAGAACACACCGGGGGGTGACAAGTTTTTTAGTTGTGAGCAAACTTTTTACTTTTTTTCTCCCCTTCAGGTGTCTTACATATGTATGTATTTGTTTATAATACAACCTGAGTGTTCGACAATAATAATAATGATAATATTAAATAAATAAATAATAATATTAATAATAATAATAATATATACGAGGACACACAATAATAACTTAGAGAAGGACCGTTGTAACCATTAGAAAACGTAAATAATGCGTAAGACAAAAAATAATTAGTCGATGCTATGATGTTGATAATAATGTTAATAATAATAATAATAATAATTATAATAATTATAATTATTATTATTATTGTAAGTGTGTCATTGTGAATAAATTAGTCGCTGTGATTCTTTATACGACTTTATTAGTATTAAACGCTATTTTTATATTCAATTCGATTATATGTTTTTAGCAAAAAACAAACAATTAATTAAAATATAAATTGAGAAGATGTAACTCGTTGGTATTTAGAGACAAAAAAAAAACAAAACAAAAAAAAAAAAGAAAAAATTCGAGTGAAAAAATGGAAATAAATGGAACGAAATTTTGATCGGTGTGTGTTGTTTTTAATTAACTGTGAAGAAATTTTATATTGAGACAAATATATAACACAGTTTTTATTGGTTTATATATTTAATTGCATGAGATAATATCAAGCATCGACTTATAATTTAAAAAATCATGTTTCTACAATCACGCTTATTCGCACATTAATTTATTATAATATTATGATATGCATGTTATTATAGTTCATAAAAAAGTAATGTGCAAAACAATCACTTAAATGCCAATCTTAGATGTTAACTTTTATGGGAGTTTTTTTCTCTCTTTCTTTCCTTTTTTTTTTTTTAAGCATTAAAAAACAAAATTTTATTACGATGCCGAGTAGTTTAAGTTTATGTGCACAAATGTTTTCTTTCCTTTTTTCTTTGCCGAAATTTGTTAATTTATATCTATCGACATACTATATAAACGTTATATATTATAATAAATAAAACAACTTGCAAATACTTTTTTTTTCTCTTAATTTAATTACTTTTTTTAATCACCTTGTCTTAAATGACGAATCGGGATTGCTCGTTTGATTTGTTATTATCTTTGAACGTCATCTTACTGCGCAGTTTTTCTTATTCTTTTTTTTAAACGTAAAAATCAATCTCTAACTGTATTTTCTTAGAACAATTCATGAATATATATGATCGATTCAATGAATTTTATTGTAAGATACAGTGAGTCTGTAAACCAATCAATTTTATACAAAATTTTGTGTGTGTGAAATTATTTAATAACTAATATTTTTTTTATACAAAGAAGACAAATTTTCTGAAATTTTGAGATAAGATATGACGCTAAAAAATAATAATTTACTTGTATAATTTGTGAAATTAATAAATAAAGAAATAAAAAATCAATTGGTGAAATCTACAATCAATAAGAATATTTGTACATCTCTTAATTTTGTTAAAACACATAAAAATAACTATGTAACCTAGTGACATACGTGTAGTTTTATACTAAAAAATTAAAACAAATATTTAATTAACCCTTTGAGTGTGCTGAATACTTTTATTGTTTGCTGAAATGTTTTGTAAGTACGGAATAGTTCATTATTAGAGTATGATTGTTTTCTTTGATTAATATTATTTTAACACAAAATCTAATAATATATTATATTTAATAATTAAATTTTTTGTTTCTTATATATATAAGCAATTTCTTTGGCTTGGTAATGATGGTAACTATGGTTGAATGATTGTACAACGGTTGATGCTAAGTTGAAACTGAATCAACAATATGTACAGCTTTCTTTTATTATAAATAAGACAATGATCACTTCAAATACAATAGATCAATACAAATAGATTGTAACAAAAATATCTCTACGAGTTTACTTCTCGTC